AAAATAGATCGGGTAAGAACAAGAGTCCAAGAAACAAATCGGACCGGATTTAAAGCTTCAATGTTGCTGAAAATAGTCCAAAACTGCTGCTGGTCGGAGCTAGGGTCGAGAATGGAGCTGCTGAGCGGATCTGGTCGGGCCTTGTGAAGTGAAATCGCCGAAAAAACGAGCTGGATGCGGGTTGGAGCGAGGGCAGCGGGTCGCCGGAAAAGAGGATAAGCTTGGTCGAGCTCGCGGAGATGGTGGTCGCGGGTTGCTGCTGGTTGCTGCTCGGAGGTGCTGGTTCGCGGAGAAAAAGGACGACGTGAACCTGGACGTCGTCTTGCCGGAAAACGGAGCTCGAGCTTGGACGGGCTGGAGCTGCGGGCTGCTGGTCTCGATTTGGTTGCGCGTGGAGGAGCTGGTCGCGATTTGGTACAGCTGGTCGCGGACTGAACAAGGGCTGAGGACTGAGGCGCGAGCTATGGCGAGCTCGCCGGGGAAGATGACCGGAAATGGAGCTCGAGCTGCGGGTTCGCCGGAAAACGCTAGGGGTCGCCGGATTTTGGGAGAAGATGAAGCTCAAGCCATGGATCTTGATATATTAGCTATGGATGTAGAAGGGATCTTGAATAATGAAGCTAAAATGGTGATGGTGTGTTGAGGAAGAAGATGAATAGTAAAAGAGAGGCTAGGGTTTTGTGTGTTGTGGTGTTGGGAGACAAGGGGGACAATTCTATTTATAGCATGTGTAGAAGACTTAGGGTTTCTTGTGTGTGTTGGGCTTTTAACGGGCTAGAGAGTCGGGCCTAAAAATTACTACATAATCGGGCTAGAATATAAATCGAATAAGAACTTAGGAAATTAAATGCTCGGGCTTGCTAAATAATATTAATCGAACTCGGACTAATTAAATTAGTCGGTCGAAATAATTACTAATAATGGGCCCGGAATTAAAATCGATTGCCTGCTTGATTTTAAAATGGACTGGAATAAAATTGGACTTGGGCTCGATATAATTAAATTATCCGGCTTCAGATCACTTAAAAAATTCCAACTTTAATAATTAAAGTCGGAAGAATTATTAATGGCTTAGACTTAGATACTAATTATTTAATTTAATGAAAATAAATATAAATAATGCATTAGATTTAGAAACTTAATATTTATGAAAATATAGTCGAGCTCCATAAATAGTAAATAAAAATCTGGGCGTTACATAGATCCATAAAGCATCACTGGTCGAAGGCCTTTCGATAGAACTCGCCTTTGAAACTCACTGGTACTTTACGATCAAACTATCGACGACGCGCTCCTCCACTTGTTCCATTCCGATTGAATTCTATGTGTTGCATCATTATCGATGTTGCCACTATCTCTCAAAATGCATCATAAATATTTCAAACTTTTAGATGTTTCAATTTATGTTCCCTAATTTTAACTTTTACCCCCATTATTACTCTTTTGATTACAAAATTACACTCCATATATTCGTTTTGACCCTGCTTAGTTTCACTTGTTTCAAGCGGCCCCCCTTTCATGTTTCTAACTTAGCATTTATCCCATCCCTCGTCTCATGTACTATCACTATCACTACAAAAAAACTCTTACATTCCGACGAAAATTTTTCATTGGAATTCTTTTTATTTTCCGTTGGAATAGTTATTCCAGCGGATATTCCTACGTATAAAAATCCGTGGGAAAACGGCCGTTGGAATAGCTAAAATCCAACGGAAAATCCTATGGAAATAAATTCCTAAAACTATTCCAATAGAAAAAATCCGTTGGAATTCCTAAACCATCCAACACCTAATCAAACATAAAATTAAGTTTGTTGGAATATTCATTTGAATTTTCAACGGAAATTTTTGTCGTTGGAATTGAAGTGTTTTCTTGTAGTGTATGTCATCCAAAAACAACATGCAATCAATGACAATCAATTGCAGATGCTCTGTATGTTCATCAATTACAAATGAAAAGAAATACGGACTCAACGCCGAACTTTGATGGAAACCAACAGTGATAGGAAATTTACCCGATATCCCACCAACAATGTTGTTAGTCGTTTTCTAACAAAATTAAACTATATAATAACCAACAACTCTGAAACAATCTTTTAAATACAGCTCAAAATTGCGAGAGTCAAAATTAAAGACTGAAAAAACAGAGTGATGTGATATAACAACAGATTGAAATTGTCATCACAAAAACCATATTACTTTTCAAAATTAATTTATTACAAAGCAAAGTGAAAATCTGATGTTACTCGGGCAAGTTACATATTCTCTTCCTAGAAACAAATTAAGTGGAGAGGAGAGACTACATTGTACTCTCCAAATCAATTATGAAGGTAATTTGGGCCTGCAGGGACGCTCCATCTAACCACGGCCTTCATTTTCCTACTCTTCTTTTTCACCAAATCGGCATATGGAGAGACTATCTTGAAATGCTTCATGAAAAATAAATCGAAATTCGACAGTATTCTATGTTGCGTCGATTCTTGGCCTTCGATACTTGATCTAATTTGCCTGCAACTGGATTTAGGAACTAGCAAAAGAAGAATGGCCATTATAATAAATAATTGTGAGAAGGATGGACTGTTCTTCATGACTAGGTAATTGTTTTGAACAATTTCTGCCTTTTAGAACCAGAAATAGGTAGAATTTGGAAACAGACTGATACACTATATAGGATAAATGCTTTTGGAAACAAGAAAAAAGAAGTTCAAATTTTGTATATTTGTAAGTTTATGTGGAGGTTTGAAGTGCATTTATAGTGTTAATTACTTGGATAGTAGTGTTTGAAATTTGAGCTAAAGTCAACAAAAGATTACAAGGATCTGTTTGGCTGGAACTCACTTGTGGCTTATTTCTACAAAATATGATATCCTAAAATTAGTCAACCTTAAACAAATACATAAAAATCTCTAGTCTATTTGAACTTGTGAATTAGAATCTTTTGTAATAACTTGTGAATTAGCATCTTTTGTAATTTATATTATATCTGCAAGCAGCCAGGCGCGCACACCCACATTCTTTCCTAGTAAAGTCATTACGGCATTTCCAATTATGTACAAAAATGCATATTCATTTTGTTGTCCCATTATATATTACTAACACAAACTTATGATTATAAATCTGCCCAAGTCTTACTCATAAAAACAATATATTATATGAGAATTTGTAGGTAAGTCGTTGATATCTCTCATTGGATTTAATTTACCAATCAGCGATATATAAACAATATGATCTGTTGTTTTATAGCTCCTGCTCGACCGAGTCAGATGTAATAGTTCGAAATCGCCGAGCTAACAAGGTAAGTTTGGGTTTGTCACCTCAGTCTTCAGGATAAAGCTAATAAATTTCAGGTTGAGGCTGCGAGCTGACATAAGACAATGGCAGCTCGATTAGCTGACGAGTTGATACCCTTGGAGGAGATCAGTGGACCTAGACTGAGGGAGCCTATATGAAAAGAAATACCAGAAGAAAAGAAGTCTATTAAGGAAGGAGATCTAAGAGAGGTAGGAGACCTTGATGGTAAGGAAAGTAGATATGATGAGGTCTTAAGACTTCTTCCCCAAATTTAGGCAATTAGATATCTAAATAACTGGAAAACAAGGTAATTACTAGTTGGACCACTGAGAGTTGACTAATGCTTGTTAGCTAATATTGCATCAAATCGGCAAGATTAAATAAGTAGAGGAACATCCAATCCCATGTAAATAAAAACTTTCCTTTCTCTCTAAAACGAATTCGGTCATAATCCCTAAATCCAGTCACTTCTTCTTCCATCTTTCATCCAGCGCCTCCCCTCTGGCAGAGGCTCGCACCAGCGTGGCTTCGTCTAGCACCAGGGGAATCGTGGCTCGCTGTGTGCTCGAATGTTCGCTAGTCCCGGTGGATATCCCTCTGTTTCGGATGGCCATGGGCGGACTTGATGTGTCGTTTCGGCTTCACGACGATGGTTTCGGGATCACCGGGTTATTTTTGCTCTAGTGGTGATCGTTTATGAGGTTCGCGCTCCCCTCTCCCTTCTCTTCTTCTTTTTCTGATGTTAGAGGGTGAGGTTCACCTGCTGGGAGGTTCAGGGCTTTGTCAGGCCTCGACTGCGGTTACTGATTTAGTCTGGGAGAGGGTTTTTGGCGGGGGCCTCATGGGGTTGGTATGTTTGGGCCCTATGGTTGGTCTTTTGGGCCAGATTTAGTTAGTCTTCGTCTGAAGGGAGTTGCTAGATCCGTGTCCTAGCCCGACCTTCGGGTTGGTGGGGAGGGTCGTATTCTATGTATTAGGTTGTGTTTTATTTGTTCTTATTTGTGCTTTAGGTTTGTGTGTGCTATGTGATTTTTCGTATTTCTTTGGGTCTATTCTCCTACTAAGAGCGTGCATTCTCCTTTTGGGAGTAGTATTATTATTGTGGGTTTGTTCGTGGTAGTTTAGGCTCCATTAGGGGATGTCCTCCCACTAGATTCAGTTGTTAGCTATTTCGAGTTGTAATCATGTGTTCTACTTATAAATTCTTATCGTTTCGAGAAAAAAGAAAAAAAAATGAGAACATCCACATTAACTTTAGATTAACAAATGGGATTAATAACTAACATAATGATAATAGAATTAGACAATGCGAACAAAAAAAGACAACCAACTCAGTACATATGCAGTACAAAACCAAAAAGTACAAAAGATACATGACAAATCCAAATGAAACTAAGGGGCATAATGATATTCCTTCCATCTCCATGGCGTTTTATAATTTATGTATTGTATTTCAAGGAATTATATAGAATGTGGCAGATTACATTTGTGTACAATGGATTTTTGTAGAATAATCTAGAGAAAGTAATTAATGAGTAAGCTAGAAGCTTCTACCTTCCTCCAAGCCTATAAATATACTATGTATGATGTAGATTGAATTGTTGAGAAAAGTTTGTACCTCCCTCCAATCAAATCCTAGTCTAGTCATCCTCATCAAATCACTCACTTTACTTCCACAAAGTGGTACCAGAGCCACAAGATCATTCTCTAATGGTGAACAACCTACAATCCTTTCAAGTCCCGATTCTCAACAAGAGCAACTTCGATAAATGGAGTATTAGAGTGAAGGCTCTACTCGTAGCTCATGATATGCAGGAGATTGTAGAGAACATATATGAAGAACAGCTGAATGAAGCAGTGCTATCCCAACAACATAAGGATAGGCTAAGGGATTCAAGAAAGAGTGATAAGAAGACTCTCTTCCTTATCTACCAAGCACTGGGAAATGATGACTTCGAGAAGATCTCGAGCGCATCCACCGTGAAAGAATCTTGGAATAAGTTACAAGTATCGTGCAAAGGCACCGAGCAAGTAAATAAGGTATGTCATTAAACTTTACGAGGTGTATTTGAATCCCTTAATAAGAAGGAATTCAAATTCGTGTCGGATTATTTTACTAGAGTATTGGCGGTATCAAATCAAATGAAAAGAAATGGTGAAAAATTGGAGGATGTTAGAATAATGGAGCAAATATTATACTCATTAACTCCAAAATTTGAGTATATTTTTATAACAATTGAAGAAACAAAAAACTTAGAGGAGATGTTGATAGATATACTAATGGGTTCATTACAAGCTTACGAAGAGAAACATAAAAAAAAAAAAAAGAAAATTATTGTAGAACAACTTTTGAACATGCAAGTGATATAGAAAGAAAAGGATGAAAGACCGAGCAATAACCATGGTGAATATTGGGGGGGGGGGGTCGTGGCCAAGGATAAGGTCGACGCTGAGGATGTGGAAGAGGTGGTTATAACAATTATGAAAAGAAATAGGACGGTCGAGGAAGGAATATCCAAAAATCGAGTTACGATAAATCTTCCTCAAAATGCTATAATTGTCATAAATTTAGAAATTTTGCTTCTGAGTGCAGAAGTCACATGTTTAATATTGAAGAGAAGGAGAATTTTTTCGAGAGCAAAGATCAAGCCAAAGCAAGTATATTGTTAGCTTACAAAGGAGAGGAAGGATAACAAGATTACAGTTGGTACCTCGACACCGGAGCAAGCAACCACATGCGTGGAAAAAGAAGTATGTTTGTTAAGCTCGACGACTAGGTAAGTGGAAAAGTTTCATTTGGTGATGATTTTAAAATTCCAATCAAAGCAATATGAAATATAATAATTCATTTGAAAAAAGGACATGATTTTATCTCAAATGTTTACTATATGCCCAATATGAAAAACAATATTTGGATTTTGTTTCAACTCTTCGAGAAAGGTTATGATATTCATATGAAGGATTATAACATTTCAATAAGACACACCATAAATAATTTAATTGCCACGGTGCCAATGTCTAAAAATCGAATGTTTTTATTAAAAATTCTAAATGATCGGGCAAAATGTCTTAAAACATGTTATAAAGATTTATCCTGCTTTTGGCACCTTTGATATTGGTAATCAAATTTTGGAAAACTGGAATTACTATCAAAGAAAGGGATGGTAAGAGGGTTACCATCGATTAAGCATCTTGATCTATTGTGCGAAGGGTGTCCACTTGGGAAGCAGTCTAGGAAACCATGCCCGAAGGAGTCACTTTCAAGACTTCAAAAGACATTGGAGCTAGTTCTTGTTGATATATGTGGTCCGCTAATTCCAAGTTCGCTCGGTAAAAGTAATTATTTTCCACTTTTCATTGAAGACTTTTTTTTATAAAAATATGAGTTTATTTCTTGAAGCAGAAACTAAAAGCATTAGAGGCCTTCAAAGAATTTAAAGTCATGGTAGAAAAGTAGAGTAGCATAATATTAAAGCCTTAGGAACTGATAGAGGGGGCGATTTCATATCAAATGAGTCATGGAATTTTGTCGAGAAAATGGAATTACGAGCCCACTAACAATCTCAAGGTCCCCTGCAACATAAGAGTGTTGCTGAAAGGAAGAACCGCACCATTCTCGACATGGCGAGGAGCATGCTCAAGACATAGAATCTTCCTAAAGAATTCTTGGTCAAAGCGGTTTCACGTGTAGTCTATTTATCCAATCGATCTCTAACAAAGAGTGTTCGGGGAATGACTCGGAGTGGAAAGCTCGGTATTGCTCACTGAGAATGTTCAATAGAAAATATTACACATATGCAACAGAAGAGAAGAGAAGAAATCTCAACAACAAAAGCAAGGTCTTCATTTTTATTGAGTACGATTCGAATTCTACAGGATAAAAGTTATATATTCTCGATACTAAAAAGATTGTGATTAGCCGAGATGTAGAGTTCGACAAAGAAGAATCATGGGATCTTGGTTCCAATGAGGAGTTTAATTAAATTCTACAGTTTGAAGAATCAAATATGGGGGAGAAAGCAGAAGACGTCAGGCTGGAGCATGTGACTCCACCAAGCTTACCTAAGCCAAGTAATAAAGACTCACCACCATCTTCCATAAATGAAGTAGTCGCGCCACATGGAAGAAGTCTTCACGACGTATATGAAGACCCTCAAAGGTAATAGGATCTTACACTTCATTTGTCAGTAACCTTTGAGGAAGCTGAGCAAAGTGAAAGTGGCGAGATGCGATGGTTGAGGAAATCAAAGCCATCGAGATGAATAATACGTGGGAGCTTGCAACACTCCCTAAAGGCCACAAAGCTATTGGAGTCAAGTGGATGTACAAAATAAATCGAAATTCGAGTGGAGAAGTTGAAAAATACAAAGCAAGACTCGTCGTAAAAGGCTACTTGTTTGTCCCATTTTTGTGTCTTTATTTTGGGTTAATTTTCCTTTTATTTTCCCCATTTATAGGATTTTCGTGGTTTATTTGGTCCAATTCTGTGTTTTTGCGTTTTTCTCTTTAGTTTCGTTTTGTGCGTCTTTTTGCTGTGTTTTGCTTCGTGTTTTCTCCGTGTTTGTGTTTTCAGGAGGTAGGTTTTGTCGGTTGAGGACGAGACTGCTAGAGCTGAGACCGGGAAATCAAGAATACCCATTGTCGTGCCCAGAACACTGAAGAAAGCATTGAAAAAACGGACTGAAGAGCTGCCCAGCATTTCTCACGACTCGCGAGTCTGAGTCGCGGCTCGCGAGAATGTCACGACTCGCGAGTCCAACAGAGCCGAAATGATGATTTTCGCGAGACGAGTCACGAATCGCGAGTCTTTGTCGCGACTCGTGAGTCAATGTCGCGACTCGCGAGTTAGGTCACGAGTTTCCCCAGATTTTGAAGATTTTTACCGACGCGCGACTCACGAGATGTCGCGACTCGCGACTTGAGAAAAGTGAAAGTCGCGACTCGCGACTTATGTCGCGACTCGCGACTTACGCCGCGCGATTTTCGAGGACGGGTTTTTAACATCATTTTTCGGTCCTACGGATCAAAATTCACCTCCCAGACTTTGTTTTTACGCTTTTCCTCCCTAGAAACTCATTCTTTTTCATACTTTTGCTCTTTTGATTGGATTTTGGAGATTGAAACTCTGTTCTTGCTTTGGATTTGGATGCTTGTGGATTTGACATTGAAATATTTACATTAATCATAAGTTCTTCTTTTCTCAATTGTGTGTTGATGATGATGGCTTGGGCTAATTTGAATGTTGATGTTGAATTCCATATGAGTAGTTAAATCCATACTTTAGGGATAGGGGATGATTGATTAGGTTCAATAATAATTGTTTGTTTCTTAATTGCTCATATCTATGCGAGTTGTGCTTGTCCTAGGGTTAGTAGATTGATCAACTTTCTAACCTAATAAATCAACGTGTAGAACCGAGAGGGGAGACGTTGGTCGCTATAGGCTCGTCTAGAGTAGACTTGTTCGTAACTGTATTGTCTATGCGTTGCTGGAACTGATAGTTGATCGTTTACATTCATTCTCTTGTTCGTAACTGTATTGAGAGTGAATCTCTGAACGAGAGATGATTCAAGTACTTTAACCGAGCAATTGATTGCCCGGTAGTTGTGTTAGAACCAAAAGCAATTATCCCCGATTCCCTAGCTCTTTAATCATTTGAGTTAATTCACTTGCTATTTAAATTGCTTTTCATTTATTTTAAAGTCATTAGCTATAATTGAAACCAAAACCATTGAAATAGAGTGTTTAGGATTTTCTCTTTTTTGTGATCGAATAATCGTATAATTGAATCTGGCTAACCTTCCTTGCGATACGACCCGGGGAACGAATCTTTCGATTCTACTCCGGTAAAAATACTCACAACAAAATTGGCGCCGTTGTCGGGGAAGGTTTAGGACTTTAATTGTGCGCCTATTAGTTTTTTTTTAAGTGTTTCTCTTCATAATATTTTGCTAGTTTATTAGTTCTTGATTTTTGGTTCTTTGTTTTTCTTTAGTTTTTCTTCTTTGTTTATCTGGTGCTCGTGACGGTTTCTTGTCTTTGTGTATGCGTACCAGGAGTGGACGCAAACTGCTATCTCCGATCAACAAATCAGTCAACAAGAGCCTGAGGGAGCTGCTGGAAGAGCTTACTCTGGAATCGCACGGGGAAGACGAGCATTCTCCGAAATCATCTGAAGGGAGAAAATTTGATATGGGTGAACGACAACAACAAGCTCCCCGTAACACCCTCCGAACCTTAGCCCAGCCGGTTATCGGGCCAGTCACTTCATGCATTCGTTTGCTGGATATGGCACGAAACTACGAGCTCAAAATGATTCACTACAATCAGCTGTCGGCATTCCACGGGCTCCCTAGCGAGGACCCGCTCAACTTCATCCGGGAATTTTACAATGTCCTCAACACTGTCCCTCTCGGTGGGCTTAATGACGAGCAGTTGAAGATGAGATGCTTTCTTGAGACACTGAAGGACCGGGCCAAGGCCTGGTTCATGACGCTTGCACCTGGCTCTCTTACCACTTGGACCGAGGTGTACTCAAAGTTCATTGGGAGGTACTACTCTCATAAAAAGACACAGGAGCTCCGGTCACAGATCGTCTCATTTGCTCAATTACCGAACGAGTCTTTTCATGAGGCTTGGGAGTGGTTCAAGGATCTCCAACGGCAATGCCCCCATCACAACCTCTCTCCGGGGCTACTGATGAACTGTTTCTACGATTCCCTCCACCAGAACTTGCAGTATATGGTCGACAACGCAGCAGGAGGGATATCGGAGTAAGGACAGCCGAGGAGATGTATGAAATTTTTGAGACGATAAGTACGAACTCGTCGCAAAAGAGCACTCGAGGCAAGAGAGCGGTAGTGAATGAGGTCGGGGCAGGCCATGACTTGGTGGCCCAACAGCTAGCTGAGCTTACTGAGCAGATGAGGTTGCTTACCGCACGAGGATCTCAGCCGGTCAATACATTTGCCGTTGACACATGTGGAGCATGTGGGGTCCCAGGGCATAGGTCCGAAGTATGCTCATCATCTTTCAAGCAGGACTTCAGTGAGCAGAATGCGGATGCCAGTGCTTTATAGGGATACCAGAATCGGCCAGACAATGACCCATATTCAAACACGTACAACCCCGGATGGCGGAACCACCCACACTTCTCGTGGTCAAACAACTCGAACACCCTTCAGCCACCCCGTCTGAACTTCATGCAGCAACAACCTCGACCCAACTTTGTGCTCCGACTGAACTACCAGCCACAGCAGCCACAGCAGCAGCAGAGAGGACCGAAAGCGGGGTCGAGTTCAACCCTCCAAGACGACATTTCTAAAATTCTCCAACTTATGGCCAATAGTGAGCAGCGAAGTGTCAATCAAGAGGCCTCCATCAAGCGTATTGAGACACAGTTAGACCAACTGGCCACACGGGTCGGAGTCCTCGAGACTTAAATGAACAAGGGAAAGTTGCCTAGTCAACCGAAGCATGTGAACTCAGTGACCGTCATTATGCCCGACTTGGAGGAGAAGATAGTAGACGAGGGAGAACAAGAAGCAGAAGAAGATCCGAGGAAGTTAGAGCAAACAGAAAAGGCCCCGGCGACACTACCTTTCGAGCCAACTTTGCATAAGTCCCCAAATCCATACAGGCCAAAGTTTCGTTACCCATGCCGACTCTTAGAAGAGAAGGACAATCAGCTGATGCGGGACCTTTATGAGATGTTGAAAAAGGTATATGGCAATCTACCCCCTTCCGAGGTGCTGAAAATGATAACGGCTTACGCAAGACATTTCAAAGACTTGACAAAGAGTAAGAAGCGATTAGAGAGTTCCTATGAGGTGGTGGTATGCGAGGCGGCGAAAGTCTTTCAGCACGAATTACCGAAGAAAGAAAGAGACCCCGGTAGCTTTGCGATCAATTTAACTTTCGGGAGTGAGAAAGATGCTTCGGGGATGCTTGACCTTGAAGCCGAAATAAATCTCATGCCTCTCTCTATATATCGGGAACTTGGGCTCGGCGGTCTGAAGCCCACTAGGATGCGACTACAGCTTGCCGATCGTTCACTCTGTCGACCCGAAAGGATAGTGGAAGATGTCTTGGTAAGAGTGGGGAAGCTGATTGTGCCCGTTGATTTTGTTGTTCTCGATGTGGGGGACGTTAGAGAGGATGGGTATCAGCATACCATGCTCCTCGGACGGCCTTTCATGGCGACCACCAACACAGTAATTGATGTGAAAAACGGGACTGCGAAGATGACCGTGTTGGGGGAATCTACCTATATTTCCGTCCATGGGTCCCCGCTCGAGCCGAAGAGACCTTTGCATGGCCATGTCCTTAACAACCGCTACATTGCCCCTTCTCAGCCTAGTTCGATGGAGCTGCCCCGGTCTCTCTGGAGCGAAAGATATGATGTGTCAGATGCCCGTCGCTGGTCGGGGCCTGACCATCTCGACCCTCCGCGTGCACCACGGAACTCACAGTGACTAGTCTAGTCACTGTGCTCTGTACGATTGTATCTCTCCCTTTTTCTTTTTCTTTTTGCATTTTGTTCTATTTCTTTGCTTTTCTTTCGGGTAATTATCAAGTAATTAGGTTTTCATTTTGTTTTTTTTTTAATTTTATTCTAGTTATATATTTATATAAAAAAAATTAAAATTATTATTCGCGACTCGCGAGCGAGATATGTCGCGAGTCGCGACCTGCCCTATGAAAATATGGGCGAACTCTCCGTTCGACTCGCGACTCGCGACTTGATAGTTCGCGACTCGCGACATTGTCGCGAGTCGCGAGTTACCCCTCGAATCTTAATATCGATCTCAGTTCGATTCGCGAGTCGTGAGTTTGTCGCGACTCGCGACTTGGGTCGCGACACCATGTCGCGACTCGCGACTTTCAAGTTGCAACTTCCTTGCTAGTGTATTCAAGTGACGGGTTTATTTCTCTTTTTGCAGGTATTTCAGCTATCTCTCTCGCGATAAAGCCCCGTCTCGCGATACAAGTCTCTCAACACCTCTGCCAGTCACCTCGACAACTCTGACCAACCACCACCTCCAGCCAGAACTCCGACCTTCTCTCTGGTGACACTCCCTTTCTGGCGTCCTCTCCACACAAGCTTTGACCAACCCCCGCTCATCTTTCTCTTGCGAAACACAACCCTAGCTCCTCCGTTTTTGTTCTGTCCGCGCTTCTTCGTTGTCGGTGTTTTCTCCAACCGACGTTATTCCTACGTTGCCAACCAGCCGGTGCAACCATCATCTCCGCCCAACAGCAGGTCATCCTCTTCCGGCACATCATCTTCTAGCTCCACCTCCAACTTTCACAGGTTCGACAATTCACCGCCCGGGACTCGTAATTATTGATATCTCCTAAAAGCTTGGTCTTGCTTGAGTGTTGTTGAGGAATTTTGATTGAAGAATTGAGTCGATTTTGGGGTCTTCCTAGTGTCCATTGCACTCAAAACTTTCAAGTTCAAATTCTTGCCTTCCAAGTGTTTGATAAATTGCCCAAGTCAACCTCCTATTCAGAATGGTGACCAAACGAACTAAAAGGAAGTCCACTCAAGGGGAATCGTCTTCCCAAGCTGAGCCGGTCGACCTACGGGCACAGTACAATGCCCCCTTCACCATACTCAACAAACGAGAGGGGGAAATCTACTCCTGGCTCGCGAAGAAAGATGTCCTAAAGTCTAAGACATTCGACTTCGCGTTGCTTACGGACCTCGGCATCTTGGAGACGGTCGAGCATTACTTAGAGGTGCTACATATGAGGAGATATGTCGACGTCTTCCACCTGACTTACTGGAACCTCACACTCAAGTTCTTTAGTACACTTGAGTTCTAACGGGAAGCTGATGGATCCGACACTATGAATTGTCGTTTGCTTGGGACCCGGAGAGTCATAGGCGACGCCACCATTGAACGTGTTTTGGGACTTTCAGGTGGCGGCTACTCGGTGGTATCCGACATGGTTCCTGCTCAGTTTTGGACCGAGCTCTCTCCCAACACTGTGTGGGATTCTCAGGGCATGCCCAACAGCCTCATCGAGCACGGCGCGATTGTCGTTATGCACAAGTTTTTGTGCTATGGCCTCTTCGAGAAGAAAGAGGCTGATAAGGTCACGCAGATCGACCTTTTCGTGCTCTGGGCCATGTTTGGGCGCACGAATCTGGATATGCAGGAGATCCTCAAGATCGAGTTCCGGGCAGTGCTCCGGAATAAGCGCGCGGCTGCATGTTTCGGACACGTGGTGACAGCTTTCGCTCTACATCTCGGTATCGATCCGGCAGCGTCCGGCAGTCCACCAGTTCCGATGCGGCGCATTGACACGTTTGAGCTGCGGAATCTGATCTTTGACCGGCGTACATTCATTGCATATGACCAGCGCGGAGCCTACTCCTTGTACATGAGGAAGTTGGATGCTGCCGTCTCCGCTGGCTAGGCTGGATCTTCTCACCCTCAGCAGGAGACCGACGATACCCATGAGGCAGAGGGGATGGAGCATGATCAGACTGTTCTCGACGATAGCCGTCTTCTTCCGCCTCCTTCTGGGTGGCACCCGAGCCACACATCATCATTAGCAGCGTCCGACTACGTCGTCTGCACCGCCCGCCTAGTGGACCCAGCCTCCTCCGTGGTGGACAGAGTTCGAGGAGCGCTACGACAGAGACATGCGTGGTTTCGACGCGCATTTTCAGGTTCTTGAGGCCCGGTGGGATGCTCAGTTTGGTTCCAGCGCCGGCCAGCCCTATCCTCCTCCTCCTCCTCCTCTTAATCTAGGACCACAGTGACTTGTCAATGTGTTGGTCAGCTTTTCTTTTCTTTTCTCTTTTTATTCTTATTTTTCTTTTTGTATTTTCTCTTATTTGTTGAGTCGGTTGATTGTGTAGTACAACTTCCCTTCGCTGAGAGTCGACAATGGGGACATTGTCTGATTTTAAGTGTGGGGGAGTTTTTGCATATTTATGTGGCTATGTGGTTGACTAGGTCTAGTTTTTATTTTTAGGTCGTTTTATTTCTTTCTTTTGCGTGGTGGACCAGTCTAGCTTTAGGTTTTTCTGAGTTTGGATTATGGTATATTGTAAGACTGGTTGATAACTGTTGGTTGAATTGAGAAGTTGTGATGATGTGATCGAGTAACCACTTTGATTAATAGGCTTGGTTGTTTTGAGGAACATATTTAACTTGTGAGATTTGAGCTTATTTTGTTTCTTGTGTGATATTGGTCGGAATCTTGTCAAGTAGAATTTGCCTTCAGACTGCTTTGAAATAACTCGATTAGATTTTTGAAACGTGAATATGATTGAGGCATTCCTTGTATTATCTGTTCCTTTTTCTTTTATAGAATAACAGTCACTAGTCACCCCCTTTGAGCCTTGATTTATTTTGTTGATTAACCTCTTGATGATGATATTTAATTGCAGGAAATTATCGGAGGTGATAGTTGATTGCATTGTATATATGTTTATTTACATTAAAAAAAAGTAAAAAAAAAAAAATGCTTGGGAAGTATGTTGATCTTAGAGTTAGTGGGAGGAGCCGGTTGGGGACAACTGGATGTGTTTATTGATATGGCTGGGAGAATGAGTTGAGTTGATTTATTTTGAGCCACTTCGCCTATATTTTTTCCTATCCGATCCAAAGAGCCTACGTTACAACCCTTTAAGACCTCTTGATTCACTGTTTTATGAATTTGGTTGTTTTAGAGTAGAAGTTAGACGATATGCAAATCTATAATTGACTTGACTGATGACCAATTTGAGTGCACCTTTCTTATATTTTGCGAAGAAACTGAGTGAGGCATATACATTCTTGTACTGGAGAGTCGGTGTTCTTCGAAATAGCTGAGTTGATAATTGAGGTGTGTTCTTGTGATCATTGGAATTCTTCTCAGTTTCATTGATTTGTTTGAGATTGGTCTTGCTTGAACCGTTGTCTTTGCTTGTTTATTTGTTTTCTTTTCATTTCGTTTCTTTCTGTTCGGGACGAACAAAAGTTTTAGTGTGGAAAAGTTGTTTGTCCCATTTTTGTGTCTTTATTTTGGGTTAATTTTCCTTTTATTTTCCCCATTTATAGGATTTTCGTGGTTTATTTGGTCCAATTCTGTGTTTTTGCGTTTTTCTCTTTAGTTTCGTTTTGTGCGTCTTTTTGCTGTGTTTTGCTTCGTGTTTCTCCGTGTTTGTGTTTTCAGGAGGTAGGTTGTGTCGGTTGAGGACGAGAGTTCTAGAGCTGAGACCGGGAAATCAAGAATACCCATTGTCATGCCCAGAACACTGAAGAAAGGACCGAAAAAACGGACTGAAGAGCTGCCCAGCATTTCTCGCGACTCGCGAGTCTGAGTCAAGACTCGCGAGATGGTCGTGACTCGCGAGAATGTCACGACTCGCGAGTCCAACAGAGCCGAAATGATAATTTTCGCGAGACGAGTCGCGAGTCAATGTCGCGACTCGCGAGTTAGGTCGCGTGTTTCCCCAGATTTTGAAGATTTTTACCGACGCGCGACTCGCGACTTGAGAAAAGTAAAAGTCGCGACTCGCGACTTATGTCGCGACTCGCGACTTATGCGGCGCGATTTTCGAGGACGGGTTTTTAACATTAGATTTCGATCCTAGGGATCAGAATTCACGTCCCAGACTTCGTTTTTACGCTTTTCCTCCCCAGAAACTCATTCCTTTTCATACTTTTTCTCTTTTGATTGGATTTTGGAGGTTGAAACTCTGTTCTTGCTTTGGATTTGGATGCTTGTGGATTTGACATTGAACTATTTACATTAATCGTAAGTTCTTCTTTTCTCAATTGTGTGTTGATGATGATGGCTTGGGCTAATATGAATGTTGATGTTGAATTCCATATGAGTAGCTAAATCCATACGCTAGGGATAGGGGATGGTTGATTAGGTTCAATAATAATTACTTGTTCTTAATTTCTCATATCTATGCGAGTTGTTCTTGTCCTAGGGTTAGTAGATTGATCACCTTTCTAACCCAATAAATCAACGTGTAGAACCGAGAGGGGAGACGTTGGTCGATATAGGCTCGTCTAGAGCAGAATTGTTCGTAACTGTATTGTCTATGCGTTGCTGGAACTGATAGTTGATCGTTTACATTTATTTTCTTGTTAGTAACTGTATTGAGAGTGAATCTCTGAACGAGAGACGATTAAAGTCCTTTAACCGAGCAATTGATTGCCCGGTAGTTGTGTTAGAACCAAAAGCAATTATCCCTGATTCCCTAGCTCTTTAATCATTTGAGTTAATTCACTTGCTATTTAAATTGCTTTTCATTTATGTTAAAGTTATTAGCTATAATTGAAACCAAAACCATTGAAATAGAGTGTTTAGGATTTTCTCTTTTTTCATGATCGAATAATCATACAATTGAATCTGGCTAACCTTCCTTGCGATACGACCCGGGGAACAAATCTTTCGATTCTACTCCGGTAAAAATACTCACAACACTACTGTTGTGTACAAATTATTTAATTTACCGAGTATCGAATTGAAAGATTCGTTCCCTGGGTAGATCTCACGAAGAAGGCGGTTCAGAATAAAGCTTTGGTATCGGTAGCACATAAAAAATAAATAAATCCTAAACACTCTAATCAAATAAGGGGGTTTGAATAATTATTCGGGGATAATTAATTCAAGTTCTATAACAAAACTGGCAATCGATCGTTCGGTTCGGAATTTACACTCTCGCCTAAACATCTAGCAATTTGCTCCCAATAACTCTTCGCAACAAGGGATTGAACATAGACGAGCAAGTTCGAGCACACAATACCATCCAATTATCCAATCCCAATAACTTTTCGTAAGAGAAAAGACACCGACAAGCATGTGTTTCAATCCAAACCCATAGATTATTCAGTTAGGTTATCATCTACCTCATGCGAGTCTAAGTCTACAACTTCTTCCCTTTCCGTTCTAAAAGTCTCTAATTTAATTAGATGAGTATTAATCAACTAACCATATAGAATCGACAAACCCTAATTTAACCAATTAACATTCAATTGTTTCCAATTGCAAGATCGAATCGATTATGTCAATCAATCAAACAATCTTTTCATCAATTCCTTATCAAATTAACTCGCACAAGAACAAACGAATCAAGCCCGAAAAATACGAATTAAACAAGAACAACCATCCCCTATCCCTAGCAATAAGAATGAGCTATGTAAAATAAATTCAACACAATCAATCATTCTTTCCAAATCAACCATTATTCATGAATTAACAAGAGAGAAAATAAACGTACGATTAATTTCAATCCGAGTGTTGAATCTCATTTACAAGCTTAATCCCTAATTACTGTGAAGAAGAAGAAAAACGGAAGAGAGAGATAAAAAGAAGAAGAAAAATGAAGAAGAAGGAGATGAGAAGAAAGGAGAATTCTGTGTTTTTACGAGCTAGGGTTCATCCCCAGGAGGGGGAGAATGATTTTTATCGCGATCCCAATCTCGTATTTATATTAAATAGGTGCCACGGGCATGAGAAGATGAAACATGATGCAAGAGGAACCAGGTGCCGCGGCACGGAGAGAAGCTGTGGGGCGGCGTGGAGAGAAAAGTGTTGGGCATGTCTGTCGCGGCACGAAGGCCAGCGCGACATGGAGAAGCGTGGTCTCGCAGCGTGAAGGCGTCCCGCGGCGTTAAGAAGTCAGGTACCGCGACGTGAGGTTGGGTGCTGCGTGGAGCTGGCAGCAGTACCGCGACACGGTAGTGCACACGGTGCAACATGAAGGGACCTGGGAGCCTCTGTCGATATCGTGGCGAGCGCAGCGGCGCGATGTCGACGCGGCACGGGGGGCACCCTGCTTCGACTTTGCGTTTCGGGCCCGTTTGGACTCGTTTGAATTTGGAATTCGATTCTGCTTTTTCCTGTGTGTTGCCAACGGAACTCTCTATTCAAATATGCTTTCCCGCCCAATTTTTGCCCAAAATTCGGTGGTCCCAAATCTTCCGACCTACACACCAAAAAAAATGGAAAACTGGAAAATATACGAGAAACACAAACAAAACCAAAATAGTGCAAAACACAATAAACTATAAAACGAATAAAAACCAATGAAATTACCTAAAATGGGGGGAAAATAAAGGCAAATCGAACACGAAAAATGCAACAAAAATGGAACAAACCGCTACAACCAAAGAGAATGAATCGACTATGATGAGGTATTTGCTCTTGTTGCTCGACTAGAAACTACTAGAAGTTATCTTTCTGTCTTAACTCATCTATAGGAAAGGTTCATGCCTCACAAGAGAGAGATCCGAGTGTGCTAGTTGGTCTTACAGAGAGGGGCAAAAACAATAGAGAATTTCTCTTGCAGCTCAAA